GATGATGGTAGACTTATAAGTTAAATGATATTCTGTATTTACAAATGTAGCTACAAATGGTTTAATAAAGTACTACTATGACTGCTTAAGGGAAAAAAAAAAAAGTTTGATTCGAATGATTGTTAGAAAGAGTTCTAATTTCATATATAATTTTTTTTTATCTTTGTTAATAAAGACTTTTTTTAAAAAAATAATAATTTGAGGCTTTGATATTATATTTTTTAAGGCTTTAATATTATATTTTTTGTATATTAAGAATTAGGTTTTACTTGCCTAATTTCATATATAATTTCTTTATCTTTTATTAATAATAACTTTTTTTTAACATAATAATTTAAAGTTTTTGCATTATATTTCTTATATATTAAATATTAGATTTTATTTATCTAATTTTATATATAATTTTCTTTATCTTTTGTTAATAATAACTTTTTGATATAATAATTTAAAGTTTTGGCATTATATTAAGAGTCAGGTTTTACTTACCTAATTTTATATATAATTTGCTTTATCTTTTACTAATAATAACTTTGTTTTATAACATAATTATTTGAGGTTTTGATATTATATTTTTGTATATAAAAGATAAGGTTTCATATATCTAATTTCACATATAATTCACTTTATCTTTTGTTAATAATAAATTTTTTTTTAATATAATAATTTAAGATTTTGGCATTATATTTATTGCATATTTAAAGTTAGGTTTTACTTATCTAATTTTATATATAATTCTCTTTATTTTTTACTAATAATAACTTTGTTTTATAATATAATAATTTGAGGTTTTAGTATTATAGTTCTTGTATATTAAAGATAAGATTTTGTTTACCTATTTTTATATATAATTTTCTTTATTTTTTGCTAATAATAGCTTTATTTTTGATATAATAATTTGAGATTTTGGTGTTATATTTCTTGTATATTAAGGATCAGGTTTTATTTATCTAATTTTATATATAATTTTCTTTATTTTTTACTAATAATACTTTTGTTTTATAACATAATAATTTAAAGTTTTGGTATTATATTTTTTGCATATTAAAGATAAAGTTTTATTTGTCTAATTATATATATAATTTAATTTATTTTTTGTTAATAATAATTTTATTTTTTAACATATAATTTGAGATTTTAGAATTATATTTATTGCATATTAAAAATCAGGTTTGCTCATCTAATTTTATATATAATTTATTTTATCTTTTGTTAACAATGACTTTGTTTTATATATAATAATTTAAGGTTTTGCCATTATATTTTTTACATATAGTATTAAAGATAAAGTTTTGTTTATCTAATTTTATATATAATTCTTTTTATCTTTCACTAATAATGAATTTATTTTTAACATAATTATTTGAGGTTTTGGTATTATATTTTTTACATCTTAAGAGTCAGATTTCACTTGCCTAATTTTATATATAATGCTTTTTATCTTTTGTTAATAATAACTTTTTTTTATATAATAATTTGAGATTTTAGCATTATATTTTTTTTGCATATTAAATATTAGGTTTTACTTTACATAATTTCAAATATTATTTGTTTTATTCTTTGCTAATAATGACTTTTTTGATATAATAATTTTTGTATATTAAGGTCAAGATTTTATGTTACTTATTTTTATATAAATAATTTATTTTATTTTTTACTAATTATAACTTTGCACTTAGTAGTTTGTTTTTATTAATAAATAAAACTGTTAGTAAATTAAACCTATTATTGATCTATTTTGTTAATCAATTAAACATATCTAAAAGCTAAACATGTTAATGAACTAAACATTTTAGTAAATTAAATAAGCAGAAAACTAAGTATCAATAAATAATATTATTGATAAAATATATTTACTAGTAAATTAAATCTGTTAGCATAATAATTATCAGTATATTAACTGTTAGTATAATAAAAGTGTTGATTAAATGAACATGTTAGTGAAATAATTATTAGTTATTTAAGTGTCTATAAAATGTATATGTTAGTAAATTAATTGTAGATAAGATAGAGTATCAATAAAATAATTGTTAGTAAAAAATACAGAACTATTTTTTTTCTGGAAATTTAGTTTTTTTTAAAATTTCTGATTCATTCTTATATTTTATTTTAAGACTTATTACAGAACTTTACTTTTGATTTAACTCTTATTTTAGATTATAAAGTTTAAAATTTTTAAATTTTGTCTTTAGTTTAATTTAAATTATTGATTTTATTTATAAAAAGTTAATAACTTAATTATTAAGCTATAAGACCTAATCTCTATTTTATTTATTTTTATTTTATTATTATTAATAAAAATTATATTTTATCTTATTTTTAAATATATTTTATTTTTTATTCAAAATAAAAAATTAATTTTCTTAATTGATTATTTAACAAATATTAGCTTTATATTATTGAATTTAAAAGTTATATATAGTTAAAAACAATTTAATTAAGATTTTTCTTTTTTTGATTATAGTTTATAAATATTTCTAACTTTTAAAATTTAATAATTCTTGTAAAAAATAAATAATTTTATTATATTTGACTTATATAGACTAAACAGTAAGATTTAGTTAAATACTGATTTTATTATAATAATTTATAATAGTTATAAAGCTATTGAATTTAAATTTTATTTTTAAATATTTATTCTTTATTTTATTATTATTATTTTTCTTCAAATAAAATATCATTTATTTAACACTTATGTGATTTAAAGTTTATTACAGCTTATTAGTTTTTAGTAATTTTTATTATAATATAAAATCAAAACAATAGTTTTTAAATATAATAATAAAAACAGCTTAAGATATATTTTATAAGCAAATATAAAAAATACATTATAAAAAAATAAATAAATAGAAAAAAAAAAAAAATAAGGTAATAACAATATAAAAAAAAATAAGCAAAAGAAAAAGAAAAATAAATTAAAAAAAAAACTAGAAAAACAATGTTAAGGCTTGTTATAAAAAAAGACTCTTTTATTATAAACTTTAAATAATCAGATAAACAGCTTACTTCTATTTAAAATAATGTGATAGATTGCACTTAGTATTATTAAAATGGTTAGGTAATGCTAAACTTAGTTATTAGATGTCTTTATATAATTACAAATTTAATTTTAAAAATTTTAATAAAATACTAATATAACTTTTTAAGATACATAAATAATTAATTTAAAATGTTTATATAAATAATATTATTAGAATAATATAACAAATTAACTAAAAATAAAAATTCATAAGTAAATACTTAATAAACCAATTTAGAAATAATAAGGATTTTATAATTTATTGTATGATGCAATACATTGCACCCTTTGTTTTACTATATAAAAATCATCAATTGTGTAATAAAAACTTTTTATCAAAGCAAAAAATAAAATTTTATTAATATTAAAATTAGTATTAAGGTTTAAGATAAAGTAAAGTCATAAAGTATATCAAAATTTTACGAAAATTTTTTTTATTAAAACTTCAAAAATGGTTTTATAGACAAAATTTTTAAACAGAAAGAGTGCAATATATTGCACATGCAATAAATTATAAAACCTATAACATAATATGTAGTAAGTTATAAAACATAAGAAAAATATATAAATAATCTAATAAAACTACTGAACTAAGCAGTAAAACAAAATCTAAACCACGAATAAAACATCTAAGTTAGTATTTGAATTAATAAATATTATGTATTAAATATAATAAATTTGTACAAATAATAATATTAGTAAATAAAAGATACGAGACAAAACCTCATCTTAATACCAAAAAAACAAAAGAAATTCTATTTTGACTTGGGTCAAAATAGTGTGGGCCGTTAAGGTCAGTCGGATTTTTATATTAAAAAACCTCAATCGGCATCAACATAATTCCGTCCTGCACTAACTCTAAATTTTAGTGGGTCATTTTTGTTAATTCACTACCCGAATTTTTTTCAAACCAAAAATTTACGTTATTAGATTAGGGTCTGTAATTGTTATTAAGTTAGGACTTTAAAGCGGTTCTTATATCAATTTTATTAGTGTGCAAAGGCGGTTTCATAGCGTTTGTTTTGAATTATCCTGATCGCGTTACGTTATACCTGATTTCGAAATTTGATTGGTTAAATTGTATACCTATAATCTTATTAATAAAATCTATTTTTAGTTAAAATGATCATTTTTATGTTTTTCTACTAGTAATCAGGAAATAAGGCCTTTAAAATATGGGTCTGCTTTATAATGCACTAATTACTGTACGTGTTAAAATTTCCTGACTCTGCAAATTGCAGCTGAAATACATCACCCGTTAGGAACAAAATACGTACGAATCAAGGCATTATTATTACATGAAAATCCTTTAAACTTAAGCATATATGGTAATAAAAATAAAGCATTCAAAATTTCTTACAATTCATTTTGCGCATATCACAAAGTATGAATATGCGCGTGACATCATAATAATAAATTTTTTTCGCGCGTGATAATAAAAAATTTTTTGTGCATAATTAGAAACCTGTGCATGATCAAAACTTTCCTGCAATAATGCGCGCGTATTTTAACTCAAGAGTTTATAAGGGGTTAGAAACTTATATAGTTTCTATATTAAGGTTTGTAAAACCTAGGATTTTTTTGTAACTCGTCCACTAAATTTGTCCATCTTCTGAGACGGCCGCTTAAATCGTTTCAGCGCATGCATATTTTTTGTACCAAAATCAATTATTGACAATGTACTACATGTATGATACAGGGAGTAAATCTACTATGATAAATATAAATCAATGGACAAAAAAGAACAAGATTACGAATCTATGTAATTGAAAAAAAATACACAAATGAAAATGTAAAAACAAAATTAATATCCGCATATCATCTATAAAAAATTATACCAAGTTCACATTACTTAATGCAACAATAAATATTGTCTGAACTTTTTCAACCTTAGGTCAATTTTAATTACTGTAATCATATTTCAGCGTTGTATCCTTTAAAGTTTGAGAAATCCCTATGCCTCCTATAATCTTTAATGAAAATATCATAGAGCTATCGGTGTCAACATCACTAAAATTCATGGGAGTCGGAAAATAGGTTCGCACATTAATTCCTTCAATAACTTGCTCTAAAAGACCAGTTTCAATATGGCGTACTTCTATGAAGGAAGGTTCGAAAGCAATGTAAGGATAGCGATAAGATGCAGAAAATTAATTTCAAAATTAATGATCAATTACAAATGTTATATACGTTTTAAATAGTGAAATCTATAAATTGCGGCTTTTCAAAATTTCAATTTATAGTAGAACTAATTATGATATACATTTGAGCGCAAATTATATCGCAGTAATACATTTTCGCATTGCAATGTGACAATATATTATAACAATGCAAAATTTCATAATTTAATTCTGACATCAATTATAGTAAAATGATAGGTATCAAAAGAAGTTGGTGTTCCTTCCTACGTTATTAAAAAGTCCGGTCTTGACCGCCATCCTTCTTTGGTGATGAAGAAAGCGAATTCTATGCATTATAAAAAAAAAACAACACAAAAGTAAGTAAGTATTTAAGTTATAATCTAAGGCTGACCAAAAAATTTTTTGCTTAATCGATCAAAAATCTATTACGTATGTAAATTTGATCGATCAAGCACATAATCGAGTATATATACATATAATAGGTAAATTTTCATGATCGACCATCTGATCGATCAAACCTAATTGACCTATTTTTGATCTCATAGGCAGAAGTTCGTCTGATTGGCTAATAAATTCAATTTAATTTTACATTATTTATACAGTTTAGAGTACTTTTTTAAAAAAACCCCCCGAATATTAATCATAATGAATAAAAATAAACTGTATAGAAAGTTTCATTAGAGCTGTAGGATTCCATAGCCAAAGATAAGATCTAATTCTCGTCCGTTTAAAAAAGTTATTATAGTAAATAACTTCTTAAAACCAACTCATTACTAAGCTAATTTTTTAAACGAACGAGAATTAGATCTTATTTTTGAGTATGGAGTCCCTACAGCTCTAATGAAACCTTCTATATGTTTTTTATTACTTTATTATGGTTGGTTTTTGGTTTTTTAAAACTGTATAAATAATGTAAAATAATTTATTAGGCAATTAGACGAACTTCTGCCTATGACTTTTGATCTAGCATACTTTTCAAAACGATCTAATTCTGGTAAAATCTGCAGATCATTTGGCCCTGGTTGATTAGTTTTAAAACCGATAAACCAGGGCCAAATGATCTGCAAATTTGACCAGAATTAGATCGTTTTGAAAAGTATGCCAAAAAAATCGGCCCAAATCATGTTCGCAACAAAATTTTTAGCTCATAGGCAGAAGTTCGTCTGATTGGCTAATAAATTTAATTTAATTTTGCATTATTTATACAGTTTAGAAAAAATGAAAACCAACCATAATAAGTAAAAAAAGCTATATAGAAGAGCTGTGGGACTCCATAGTCAAAAATAAGATCCAATTCTCGTTTATTTAAAAAAATCAACTTAGTAATAGGTTGATTTTATCGGGTTATTACTATACAAACTTTTTTAAACAACAATAGATCTTATTTTTGGCTATGGAGTCCTACAGCTCTAATGAAACCTTCTATATAGCTTCTTTTATTTCATTATGATTAGTTTTCTTTTTTTTAAAAAAGTACTTTAAAGTGTATAAATAATGTAAAATTAAATTTATTAGCCAATTAGACAAACTTCTGCCTATAAGTCGTGTGTATTAAGAGATTCCATGTCATCAATTTCAAAACCTTTTGAATAACGTCATACGCACAAAGTCTTTTTAAGAAAAAATGCTAATGTAGATAACATTACCTTATATGTTTTTAGTGTTTCACAAATTTCACACAAGAACCCGACTCTTTATTTTTACTTTTAACAGTTTGCTCAAAAAGCTCTAGTGTTTTTATGGTTGAATAAAGGGAACTATTTCTTACAATTGTTAACAAAGCTTCTCCAAGACATATACCTGACTTGTAAAAACTGGTGTTTGTGATGAATTTTTTTAGCCGTTTGCTAGCCATGTTGGTACATTAGGATCAAATGCTTCAATTGGACATGAATAAAGAAAATATTAACAATGTGATGAATAAAGGTTTATATCATTTAAATAGAATAAACTTATACTCACATCTAATACTAATAATAGCTTATGTTCTTCTAGGATTTCAATTTTAGAACCCTTTCTACTTGTAACACTAAAACTGGTTTAGAGGTTGGAATTGAATTTAATTTTTAAATTCGAATTTCTATAAACCGAATTTGAATTGATTCGAATAAATTCATATAAATTCGAATTTGCGAATATTATGGATTCGTATTATAGGTGCCCCACCCTCGAAACGATTTTTCAACATCAACATGCAATTCATCGTTTTCTTATCCTTCAGGTTTCGCCGAACGACATACGACCTCTTTATTATTAACTTAATCGGTCGCACCAACGTGTATATCTTACTTCGTATACACTACCACCCTTAAGAATCATCGTCTCAGGTTCATCATTCGGTTTCTTCCAACAAATTCATTAACTTTTAAATTTCCTTCTAATGTTCTTTCTCCACCCTTGATCTACCTTGTATCATGCTTCAAGGTCGTATTGTTCGTTCAAATCGCCAGTTTCAAATACCGTTTAAGCGCCTTCTGATCGTCCTTTTTAACTTCAATTCCATTTTCACAGCAAAAACATAGTTGTCTTGTGCTTTCGAAATGCATTAGCAGAATTTCAATGATCGTTCAGATCCTTTCGACCAGCAGCAAACTTTGAGAATAATTAATGCCTCAATCATACGTTGATAACAACGTCCAACATCGTCCGTCCTTTCAGTATTACCCATATCAGGTGATGTTTGACGATGTTCGAATGCCTTTTCATCGGGACCTTCAG